ACCCATTTGAGGGTCCCCAGGCCTCACGCCCCTTCTGAGTTCTTCTTCTGTGACGTGGAGGCAGGGAGGGCCAATGGGAAGTGACCTAGGTGGTGGCGTAAGGTACAGCGAGAACACGGATCAGAATCTCTGCTTTCTGAAAATACATTTATATATTTCATTGTCCTGTTTGGGATTTTTTTCCCCAGTTTTATGAACTATAATAGAATATAACATTAGTTTTAGGTTGCAACATGATTTAGTTAACACCCATCACCTCACACTCATAATTCTTTTTCCTTGTGATAAGAGCTTTTAAGATCTACTCTTAGCAACTTTCATGCTCTACATAACATCCCCAGAACTTATGTGTCACATAACGTTTCCTATAGTCACCATGCTCTACATAACATCCCCAGAACTTATGTGTCATGCAGCTCAGCGGTCCCCAATCTTTTTGGCACCAGGGACCGGTGCTCCAATGAGCATCTCATGCCTGATGGTCTGAGGCGGAGCTGAGGCGGTGATGCTGGCGCTGGGGAGCGGCTGCAGATACAGATAACGCTTCGCTCACTCGCTGCTCACCTCCTGCCGTGTGGCCCGGTTCCTAACGGGTACCAGTCCACGGCCTGGAGGTTGGGGACCCCTGATATAACTGGAAGTTTGTATCTTTTGATCATCTTCAACTCTTCTGCCCACCCCCCACCTCTGGTAACTGCTGATCTGTTCTGTCTCTGAGTTTGAATTTTTAGATTCCACATATAAGTGATATCATACAGTATTCATTTTTCTTTGACTTATTGCACTTGGCTTTAAACATTCTACTGGTAGAAATAATCTCGGGGGAGAATTCTCCAGCGAGGGGCACTAAAACTTCGAATAGTTGGTGTGCATTCACCAGAACACCAGCAGCAACACAAAACAATGACCACAACAGATGGTGTAGCCACAGTTAATTCAGGCCAAGCGAAGCTGGACACAGCATCTGGCACACAAACGTCAGAGCACACGGTGTTTGGGCATCTGTGTGACAAAGGAGTTAGCTGCATCATTGCTTGAATTTTACTCTTTGAAACTATTATTAAAGAAAAAGAAAATAGTGTAATTTAATATTCTTTCCCACCAGGAAAAATGGAACATATTCAGTTGCTCTGTTTTCTCTCCCCACCCCCAAATTTCCTTTCCTCAAGAACAAAATAGCATTTTTTTTTTTTTTATACTGGACCATCTATCCGTAGGCCAACTCTGAAGTCATGTCTTAATTACCTATCCCTAAACCTGGGTGAAGAAGGATTTAAAAAAAAAAAAGCACATCACTTTTTCCTTGTTTTGATATTTTGAGAACCACCCAATGGCTTTAATTCAAATTTTTCCAGAAATATTCAGCATTAGGATTGGGCCCAGACTGGAAAACCTCAATTCAAAACAGGAAAATTAGGAAGAATGAAAACTCGTAGTTACGAGGGGAAAATTCAAGTTGCACAGAGTTTCAAGGTGCCATGTAAACAATGCCTGTGACGTCGACACCAGCCAAAGATCTTAAAGAACCCTGACCCTTTAAAGAAACGATGCGGTAAAGGAATGCTCCGTGGCATTCGGACAGGCCACAGGAAGGAGCATGAAGAATCTACATGGAATGATGCGTGAGTCAGAAAGAACCAAACTACAGCAAAACGCTCCCTTGTCCGAATCTCATTTTCTCCTCACTGGGCAGACGAGAATTCTCTGTCTTCCACACACCACGACCCCAAAGGCTCAGTCGAATGTACGAAAAATGTGTGCTAAAGGTGGAGAACAAGCTTCACACTCCAGGGGCTGGAGGGAGCGGGGTGGGGGAAGCCGTCATTTAATGGGTAGAGAGTTAAAAAATGTGCGCTAAAGGTGGAGAACAAGCTTCACGCTCCAGGGGCTGGAGGGAGGGGGGTGGGGGAAGCCGTCGTTTAATGGGTAGAGAGTTTTGGTTTTGCAAGAAGACAAAGTTTGATGACGAGTTGCACGGCGGGGTGAAGTATATTTAACGAGGCTGAACTGTACACTTAAAAATGACTAAGATGCTAAATTTTGGGACGTGTATTTCACCAAATTAAAAACTGTTAATTTAACAACAACAACAAAGCTCCACGCTCTAAGCAACACTGTCCGAAGCCCATAGGAATGCAGTTCCCCTGGACGTGGAACGAGGGCGCTCACGTCCAGGAGAGCAGGTACGGGAGTCTGACCATGACTAACGTGTCTTGTCACCTGACGGGAGCTGCACTGTGGTCCCACAAACCTCAGCAGCGCACAGGGCAGACACACAGGGTCTCCCTGGAGGCCCGGCGCCAGCCAGGCCAGCCAAAGTCGGCCAACAGCCACCACACGCAAAGCAGCAGGCCTCGAAAACATGTAACAAAGTCTCCCGACTTTTTTCCCATGGAAATTCATGCTCAGGAGAAGTCCTGGAGGCAGGGGCCATATGATGCTTAGGGAGACACCTGGAATGGCCCAGCAAATCGTCTGGAAATTCTGTCTCCGGCGTCCAGCTCTGGCTGGGTCCTGGCAAGGGTTCAGAGCTCTGGCTGCACTGGTCACATTTCCTTGGCAGCCTGGGGGCCGAGCTGGGTGGACTGCCTGCCAGCAGCACACTGCGGCTCTCCTGGCTGGGCGACTTGGGGATGCGGTCAAGGAGGGGCAGACAAGGACCAGAGAAGGAGCAGGTGACAGGGCCACCTGGGGAGGAGCTGGTCACAAGCTAAGCAGGGTTTTTCACAAGAGCACCACCTACCTGTGGGACTCAGGGCCCCCGCAAGCATAGACAGGGACTGCAGTTGACACTCTTGACAGCTGACACAGGACACCATTCAGACCTCCACACAGAAGGTCCTGGAGCAGCAGCACCAACCCTGCCCGGGCGCTGGGAGATGCGTGGTTCAAAGCCCACCCCGAACCCACTGAATCAGAGACTCCGGGGGTGGGCCTGGCCGCTTCTGCTTAACAAGCACCCAGCAGCTTCCCGTGGACGGCTGCGGGGTACAAGAGCCAGTGCCGCTGACACCCCGCTAGTTTCTCTGGTCGCCGGGAGAGGCTGGTTGTCGGTTTCTCATGGTAATTGAGTAAAATTGATGTCATTTTCCCTGCAAACAGAACTTGCCTGGAACGTGTCAGGGTTACACTCCACCCCGTGGTTGTTAAGGAAGCTGAAAACAACCCAAACGCTGTCAAGTGGCCCTATTTTCCAACTTGGCTGCCCAAACCCTGGGTTTCCAGCGTCGGACCACCTGTTTCTGTCTGCGATCTGTTCTGTAAAATATTCCGGCCCTTGGGTCACCACCCCTCGTCCCACCAACCAGAGGGAAATCAAGTCACGTATATAAGAAAGACACGGCAGAACATCCGGAAAACTGGCAAAAAGCCAGGGCCGCAGCACCCCTCTGGGGCTCGCTGCGGGCTGGGAGACCGGGCTGGCAGAGGCTCCCCCTCCGCCTTTACCTGCTCAGGTGCTTGGTTGGCTGGAGACACTGAGCCGGGAGTAAGAATCCATATTCCTGGATGAGAGCCAGGCGAAAGGATCTTTTATTTTTATTTATTATTATTATTATATATATCTTTTTAGGCGAGGCAACCCTTGGTTGACCTAACAGATTGCAAGGACCCTGTCAGCTTACAAGCCCATATTTTTTATTTTTTACGCCTACAGCACCCGGTCTTCCTAGGTGGTCTCCCATCCTAGTACTAACCAGGCCCGACCCGGCTTAGCTTCCAAGATCAGACGGGATCGGGCGTGTTCAGGGTGGCGTGGCCGTAGACTGGAGGGATCTTTTAAAACACAGCCCAGTGCATGCCACTCGTCTACTGAAACCCCCACAGCAGCTTTCCATTTCATGTGCAGTGAAGCCCGCCCCTCCCCGTCCCCTTGCACCCAGCCCACCCTCCCC